GACGGCTCGATTGCTCGAGGAGGAGGTAGGGGAATACGATACGGTATACAAAGGCGGGGTGATATTAAAGTTCCAAAACGTGTTTTCACTTAGACCATGTTATTTCCTGTTCAATAATGAAGAGGGTGGTGGTGGGTGGGTTATAGGTTGGGGCTGATACAGGTGGTGACCTTGCCCCCGTGAGTTTGTAAGGTCTACTATCATTCTGCTTCTTTGTTCGACACTTACAGGGGTTCGGCCAATTTAGGGCTGCGGAAGTTGAAGTCATACTCCGAGGTTCTGTCGCAATGAGACTGCACTTTAAGGTGGTGTGACAGTTCGCCTACCTCGTCCACCCACTGAACTATATTGTGTGGGGCAGTAAGGGCCATAAAGACAACAGCGAGCGTCTGTTACAGCTGTGTGCGCAACACCAGCTATGTATCGGTAGCGCGAAATGCCAGTTGGCGTCATCTATAGCTGACCAGCGATGGACTCAAAAAGATCACATTGCCATAAGTTACAAGTGGCGTGATTCCATCCTGGTTTGTTGCTCTTTCTGGAGTACTTTCAACGACTCTGATCATGTCTTGGTACGCTTTTTCCCATGTACTATACGTGGAGGCACACCAAGCGCCTCCCTCGACTGGCAATTGAGAAGTTATCTCAGCCCTCCGTCAGGCAAGCCTACCAGGATACCCTGCGTATCGAACTTTCGCTCTCTAGTCTTAAAGACGCTCAGGTTTAATGGAACAGGATCTCGGCTGTCAAGCACCATGCAGGATCCTCCGCAAGCTGCAGTATCAATCACACCGCATCAATCACAGGATATCCAAGAAGTCGATGGACCGGTTGGGTTTCGGATGAAAACTCCCGGCTGGCTCTGAGCACAATCTGACCAGATGGACTATTAGACGCTAACGAAAGCGGGGCTGCGTGCTGACAAAGAAGTCTCGTGGACCAGTCAGGCTCAAGAAATGGAGGAAGCAGAAGTAGGCACTTATCGCAATCTCTTCTAACTGATCCGCTTCACTGGTCCCAAAAAACCAGGCGTCAGTGAAACATTTAGAGACAGCGCGAGTGCAGTGATTCGCAATAAGGAGTGCTGTATGGTTCGTTGGGCAGAGCACTTCCGAGAGCAGTTCAGTTGTCCTCCTGCTTCTGAACCACTTCCTACTCAGGTGCTGCAGGCTGAGCCATAGCCAGTTAGTTTAGAGATTCTGTCGGAGGCTGAGGTGCGAAACCCGATCACAGCCCTTAATCGTTTTCGTGCTTCTGGCCCACATTCCCTAGCATCCGCACTATTTAAGAATGGAGTGAGGTCGTCTGCGAAGTACTGACGTCCCTGTTCGAACAGGTCAGAAAGACTATACCAGCAAAATGGAGTGAATGAATTATAGTAGTAATATACAAGAAGGGTAGTAGCACTGGCTGTACTAACCACAGGGGGATTACCCCAATATTACTGGTCCCAATTCTCGTTTGTCGCAACATTGTGAAACGGGAATCACGGATTATGGAAGAGCATGCAGGCTTCCGTCCAGGACGGGGATGTATAGACCACATATTCAGTTTGCAATAGGTGCTAGAGTAGCGCCACGCATACCGCAGACCGACAATAACTGTGGTCCTAGATTTCAAGAATGCGTTCCACTCGGTCAAGCGATGCATTCTGTTCGAAATATTTGTACGCAAATGTGTTCCCTTGAAATAGGTGAACATTTCGCGAGCCCTGTACTTGAATACCACAGGTCGCATCAGGGTCTATGGTGATTTATCGGATATTTTTCTGATAACAAGTAGCATTCGTCAAGGTTGCCCAATTTCTCAATGTTTTCAACTTCCTAGTGGAGTGCTCCCTTGTGGAGCCTTACATTGCAGGCGTTTGGCTGCTGCCTGGCGAAAAGCTAATTGGTCTTGATTATGCGGGCGATACTGGCTTGGTGTTTAAGGATGGTGGGGCAGCACAATCAACCCTGTATAGCCTCTCTAGAGTGGAACCCTTAGTTGGTATGCGCTTCGCATCTTCAAAATACAAGGTGATGTTACAGGACCACCAGTCATTCGATGAACCATTGACGCTTGATAGTCAGGAACTCGAAGGAGTTGATCGCTTCACATACCTTGGCAGCTGCATCAGCAACAATGGGCGCATATGCACTGACGTCAGTTCATATGCTACGAAAGCTAGAACTGTCTTCTTGAATCTGCGACATCTGTGACGTCTAAAATGCCGTGGGTACAAGGTCACAGTGAGAGAGGAACTACTCTATAGGAGCGAGACATGGCTCCTTCGCTCTCTAACTACCTGCGATGCCTTGAATTTTTTGACTATCATTGTGTGCGAAACATTGCTGGTAGCGCATAGCACCAGCGTGTCTGAAAAGATGGTTTGCGTAAGCGGGTACTAAGCAGTGATCATCAGACTAGTTCTTTAAAACAGCAAATAGCACTGAATAAGTTGGGTTGGCCTGGGCACGTACTACATATGCCCGGTCGCCGTTTACCGAAGATGGCGCTGTTTTGCTTACCAGATGTAGGGTGGCACAAGGCCCGAGGTGGACAAAAGTTGACTTGACAGCGGGAAATGAAGTCACTGACGACCAAACTCGGTAACGTCGGTCCGTCTCATCATTCGGGCTAGAAGCCACGTGGGTCGCCTTGAGCGTGGCTTGAGACGTTACAGGACATGTCTCGTAGTCGACACCAGTGGTGCGTCTGCTGTCGTCTCCTACACGGACTGCCTGTCTAAAGTGTGTTTGATGCTGCATTATCAGCGGAGTAAAGGTTGATTATGAGGCAGGGCAGTGAAAGCCGCAAGGAGGCTATCTCGCCGATGCCGCATGATGGCCTGCTGCCGTTGACAAGATGTCCGCGCCTTCACCCTGAATGCTATTAAAGGCATTAAGGATTTACGCTAGATCCCACATCATCTTATTTCTCTACGTTCCTAAGGTCATTTTGGTTGTACGGCAGCGAAGAAATAGTTCAAAAGGCTGATGTCTTACTTTTGATGACGATCATGTCCTAGGCGAAAACATGCCTGCCCTTCCCTAATCCGGGATCCCGTTCTGCGGTGAGGCGATGAACGATAATCGAGGCTAGTAATTTTTTTACCACAGGTGTTAAGCTAATATGCCTGTGGTGAGCACAGTCTGTGCGACTGTCTTTCTTGTACAGCACCGCCATAATGGATTCAATCCAGTTACCGGGTATGGTTTCTGCCTTCCAAACCTGTTCGAACAGGGACGTCAGTACTTCGCAGACGACCTCACTCCATTCTTAAATAGTGCGGGTGCGAGGGAATGTGAGTCAGAAGCACGAAAACGATTAAGGGCTGTGATCGGGTTTCGCACCTCAGCCTCCGACAGAATCTCTAAACTAACTGGCTATGTCTCAGTCTGCAGCACTTGAGTAGGAAGAGGTTCAGAAGCAGGAGAACAACTGAACTGCTCTCGGAAGTGCTCTGCCCAACGAACCATACAGCACTCCTTATTTGCGAATCACTGCACTCGCGCTGTCTCTGATTGTCTCACTGACGCGTGGTTTTATGGGACCAGTGAAGCGGATCAGTTAGAAGAGATTGCGATAAGTGCCTACTTCTGCTTCCTCCATTTCTTGAGCCTGACTGGTCCACGAGACTTCTTTGTCAGCACGCAGCCCCGGTTTCGTTAGCGTCTAATAGTCCATCTGGTCAGATTGTGCTCAGAGCCAGCCGGGAGTTTTCATCCGAAACCCAACCGGTCCATCGACTTCTCGGATATCCAGTGTCTGCTGCGGCGAGGATTGTTAGTATTGTTCTGTGAATCAACGGGCTGCGCACAATTGGCTACTCAACGGAATCCAACCAACCAATGATGAAACAACCGTGAAGCTGAGAACGAAGTCTATTTTCACCAGTGATTGCAGCATCAGCGTCTCCGGAAGCGTGCAATCAATAGCGAGAAGGCAAGCCAGGCACACTTAATTAACCAACGCAGCGAGAGACATTGATCCTGGGTTCGGATACGCAACACACGCCAATACTAGGCGTGCCTAACGTGCGTGAGAGTGCAGACTGTTGGCCTATTAATCTTAGAGTACGAACGTTGAACACCGCCAGGGAAATGGCATAGTGTAGCATTATGAGGGGCGTCTATTGGCTGGTGAGATAGCTGCGGATGGTATGACGAGTGGCGTTACGGCTGCTGTCAAGTAATCTGGGAATTATAATAGAATGATTAGTAATGGGGGCCTGTGGGAAGAGGAACAGGTGGGAAAGAAACAAGAAAGACGCCAGCTGCAGCGTGTGTTCGCTTATCCGCCCTGTTGTATGCAGTAGATAAGGCTACTCTCGATAAGCTGCGCCACGGCCGATGTAGAATATGATTAAAGTTTGAAGAAATAGTCGGTTGTACGTAGGCTGAGATACCGTTTGGGCGCCCAGACCTAGATAGGAGGACGATTAGGGTCCTCAACCAAGGCATGTCCGCGATGCAGCGTATATGGCAGGCACTCGGTTTCACAGAAGTGGACGCCATCCCATTTCAAACCGCCAACCTAGAGGACTACAATACTGAATTTATCTCTATTTACTGACTAACCTGGTAAAAGCAGCTCCCAAGGGGCCTGGGGGCACCACCCAGTATAGCTTAATGGGTCGAAGAGGTAAGCAAACATGTCATGTTTCGTTGTGACGGACATATACTTCCATGTCGACTGCCTACTTCGGCTTGAACAATTGAGTAGCATCATACCTTTGACTATATCTATTCCGCAGACCGCGGCTAACATGTATATCCATGTCAAAATGTGACGTGCGAGTATCACAAAGTGCGCTGAGATGTCGTACAACACAGTATCGTTACCCAAGTAAATGGCAGACAAAGACACGGTTAAAAATGACTCAGCAGCAATGTAGACAACAGCAACTCACTAAATGATTTAGTATTCGTCAAGCGAAGAGCATAGTGGATTAGACGTTCAATTAAAAAGCCACTGCATGGACAACTATCTAAACTATGAAAAAGGAGACCATTTACCTTCATTGCTTTGCGCATGTATTTACAATTATCCTTTTCTATATCGTGGTGTGAGCGGATCACATTTTTCAGCTCGTCATCTATCACCATACCTGGGCCCTGAGTACATGGCCCACCGAGGAACAACACGATTCGAGCTCCAGTGTTTGGAAACGCGGCTTCCAGAAGCCCAACAGTGATGCTCAAAGCAGTTCCCACAGACCGAAGCGGGCGTCGACCTTGGGGTACGGGCCACGGATCTGGTTGGAGCTCAGTGAGTAGGTCTGTCAAAATGGCATCGCACTTCTCCATGGGTTGGATGAACCTGATGCGAAAGAAAAAGGCGCAAATCCAGATAATTCATTTCGAGAAAAACAAGACGAATTGGTAAACGAATAACAGAAATTACGCGGGGTTGAAAAGGTTGGATTGAACAGTCGATTGTGTGACATGAGTCAACCTTCGGAATGTGAAACCCGAGAAACGTAGAATACGGATGCAGATGAGTGGACGTAGGTCAGTGTAATTTTGGGGTTGTTTGCATTATCTTAGTGGCACTGCATAGGTCTCAAATGGTACTGTTGGGTAATGAAAAGAGAATGGCTACCCAGAGAATTTTATTAATGCGAATATGGGGCGAAACAGGGAAACACCTATGGTCCTGACGGCGGAACGGAAACCTATCTTCCTACAACTGCCTTACAAAGGGGAAATAGTGTCCGAGAATCTATCCCGCCGTCTCACGTCCACACTCAGGAATACCTTCCCAGCGGCGAGGTTGCAAATCTGGTTCACCAGCAGCCCAATGGTGAGACTAAACCTCAAGGATAAGCTGCCTGTCCACACCAAATCAATGTGTGTATACTCATTTACCTGTTCCTGTGGGGCAGGATACGTTGGTCGTACGACAAGACGCTTATCCGAAAGGGTGAAGGAACACCATCCGGCCTGGCTCGGAAATGGAGGCCGAAAGGTCACCAACTCTGCCATCGCCACGCATCTTGCGGATACGGGTCACGCCACCAAGTTGGCTGACTCGTTCAAAGTAATCTATCAGGCCCCAGAAAATCGATCAAGGTATTTCCGTAAGCGGATATTAGACGCCGCAGAAGCCATCGCCATTCGGCTGTACGAACCAGCACTGTGCACGCAGAAACGGTTCACTCACGCGTTGAGCCTACCTTGGCCAGGACGAACTGCAGTTGACCTGTACGCACGTACGAATACAACTGTAACCTAACCGAAGGTGTGTCACAGCGCACTAAGATCAATTTGGTTGACTGACGACCCGTTGGGTCTGTATACTAAAAGTTTGCATTTCATGTAATTGTACAAGCCTGATGAAGAATTACCGAAAACATATGTTCGCTTACACAGACTTCTGATCAATCAATGGGTTTTTTCCATTCAATTAATGAAAATGAGCAGGAAGACATGCAGTGTTAAAGATGACACAGTGGATGCGAGAACCGAAAGACCAATAAGTCGAATGTAATGACGACTGGTCGACGGGGAAAGAGACAAAAGGTTGATTAAACAATAACAATTGATATTCTAAAACATAACGTCCAGCGAGAACTCAGATCTGGTACTTAACACTTTCGTGTACGCATAAAAAGACGATGACCAGAAGCATCTCACATGCATGTAATGGCTTCGCATTTCGAGAAATATGAGGCAACTGGAAAATGCCCATTTCATTATCAAGAACAAAAGACCGAAGGTAAACAATTGTTTTCGACGATTCATCTTCAGACCCGTACAATCATATGAATGAAATAGCAATGAGCGTAAAAGTGGAGTAATGAGCAGTTTAAATGAGATTGATCACGTGCCGACCAAAGGCATGCACCAGTAACAAACAGCAAACTAGGGTCGAGGTGCAGTTGCACCATTACAGTTGCTCTCAGAAGGATCCGTTTTGTCTGACCAAATTAGCTTAACAGCTTCGATCAGCTTCTTTTGTGCACATAAAGCTGTTGATACAACCGAATGCTGATCGCCTCAGCAGTAGAAAGGGTGCGGAGGTGCAGGTCTTTCGACTGGAGTGGAGAGACCCTGTACAGTATTCGAAAGGCACTGATTGGGTCAACCTCATGCCCAGTATCAACAAGATGAGTCATAACTGAGCTAGTTATAACCCCAGTACCGCTTCGACGCAACCAACGTGATAGGTGCTCCTTAATGCGCCCCGACAGTTGCCGCGCCGTTCGACCGATGTAAGTAGCGCCACAGGCGCACTCGAACTGAGAAATTACCATAGAAGCGGTCAGCATCGGTAACTTGCCTTTGTTGTGAATACCAGTGAGTGGCTCTGCTGAAAAGGTATACGTAAGCTTGGCTGCTGGGAAAGTTGATTTGACAGCTGTTGAAAGGCTTCTAGTTACACGCTCAGCAGCGGCGTCTCCGTGGAAGGGTGGTCGTATGAAAAGTTCTATTTTCTCTGCTGTCTGAACCTGCAACAGGTCGGGCTTAATTTGCATGTTCCTAAAAATGAAACGATCAGGATATCCGTTTTCGCGCAGCAAATTCTGAATGAACGTCAACTCATTATCCGACTTGTCTTCAGAACAGATCCTGCGGGCCCTTATGGTTAGACAGCGAATTAGGTTTCGCTTATATCTCAACGGAACAAAACTGTGAAAGTTCGTATACTGGCCACTCCAGCTTTTCTTCCTGTAGATCTGCCGTTGGATCGAGCCGTCTGCCCCTCTAGTTAACAGCACATCAAGAAACGGCAACTGATCGTTCAATTCTTTTTTGCAGGTAAATTGCAATGATGAGTGGGCCCGATTAAAACGGTCAATAACAGCGTCAAGGCCAATGGACTGGTCGGCCACGACAAATATGTCGTCCATATACCGTTGGTAACATTCAAAGGCCGTGATCTCCGCATGTAACTTGGCATTCTCTAATTTCGCCATGAAGACAGCAGCTAACAACGGACCCAATGGCGATCCCATAGCTACACCGTCCTTTTGTCGCTAGTAAATGTCCTTGGATAGGAACTGTACGTTTCAAGTGCGACGCAAAAGGGGGCTTTTCAAGTCACGCAACGGTATGCATATACTTGCTTTTGTTTCTTCTATGTAAATAAATAATAATAATGTGTCAACTGTAATCCGTAACGGCACTTCGCTGCCGCGCGACCACCACCAGTCGCGCGCGGGCTGAGTATACCGCGAGGACGCCTACCCCTACGCGGGTTCGAACCAGTGACATGGCTGCAAAGCAAACGTGCAGACTACTCGGCCACCGGCCGACTTTCTTCTATGTAGGAACAAAGGTAATCGATCGTCTCGAAAAGTGGCACGTTGGTGAAAAGCGATACAACATCTAAGGAAAACATTACTTTCTTACCGATGTTGCGGTCTTTGATGCTTTCGATGAAATGAAAGGTGTCACGAAGGCTGAGGTAACATAACAGTGAAAAACGTCGAAACTAAGCAAATTTGCTAAAGTGATAGCCATTTGCTGAGCAGTTTAACCAGATTCTGAAAGCACCGATTAATGAATCCTATTGAGATATTCAGTAGCGTGAAGTGAAAACAAAAAGTAGGACGACCAACTGTCTTCGCACTAAAAACTGCACTAGCTGTCTGGAAAAATAAGCAATAACCTATCCCATTTGGACAAGTGCTACGAACTGGAGATCGATGGGAATCGGAACCGAGTAGTCAATTATAGCGCTTAATGAGTTCAGCTAAGTTCAGCCACTCTCATGCGTATACCTAGGTGCGGTAGATCCAGTTGCACGGATGCACGCCGCAGAAATAATAATGATAATACAGTAAAAGCTCCGAAGATGACCACGTATATATCCTCTGCACGTCTTTAAGTTGACCGTTTTATTTTTCATTGTCTGAACGTTAACCATATAAATCTTATAGATTCAGACATCAATATGTTGAGCACTTTCGTCCAGTTCTTTGAGTAGTCATCTTACGGTGATTTTACTGCAGTAGCAGTAATAATAAAAAACAATGGAAAGAAATTGCGCAGAACGAAAAAGAAGTGAAATCACCAGATGGAACACTCAGGTGCCGAAATGTGGGGATGATTATGAGAGTGCCGTTGATTTCGTAACTGTGCCGTATGCAACGGAGTGTGCAACCACTGATAGAACCGACCTGGAAGACTCCGTCTGAGGATAAGAAGAGTATTAACCCGACTCAGTCTCACGTGAGTTTCATTTTACTCGAAATAAACCCGACTGGGTGCAGCATTGATACGCAGTACACACCGAGACAGGCGGCTTGCATGCATATGACCGTGCCAACACAGACGATTCAAGTAAGCAGATGCGAATTGAGTTTGTACCAAAAGCACTCAGTGAAATAACTACAGCTCCATTGACAACAGAAAAGCTTTAAATATAAACGACGCAATGCATTCTAACCTGTTATGTGGTAGTTGGGTGGGTTGCGGATGCTCTGGAGCAACCGGGCCCTTGGTGATGGGAGTGGCACGTCCAGCGAATGCGTTTGGGGCCGCGGCAGGGCCTGTTGTGGAACGGCCCACGCCAAGCATAATCTACGCCGACAAATAAAAATGAATTGTTACTCAGAGAAATGCAAGTGTGCAGACAGTTGACGTGTCCGCAGAGTACGAAATGACCGGTAAAGGACTCTCTGGGTGTATGATGGTTGGTCGACTGAATGATATTGCGTCTAGTCGACTTCGAAACAAAGACCAGTGTCTGGAATGCGTATAGTATGCTAACACGCATAGATATGTAGCCAAATGCAAGCAACTACGTTGATACGTTTCGCGTGGAGAACGCTGATAAATCGGTCCACAAGAAACAACGAAATATGGGAAACAAAATTGGTGACATCAGTTACGACGGAAGGACTATTGGTTACCTGAATTTGGCTGCCGGTATAATCCTTCGTTCCTTTGAACACCCACGATTTTGAAATCGGCCCTGATTGCAGCTCATGTACGTGTACCATCCTTCCGAAAGTGATTAAGCCCACCAGAGTGTTTTGAGGTAGGAAGCTCAACGACATTTGTAGAGATTCCTGCAAACGGAATGAATGTGAATGGCAAATGTATGTGGGGAGATTACCATCGCCTTCATTCTCTATGACATGCAGGTAACACAACACTAGGATGATGGTGACGACGATAGTAACCACCGCTAGTAGTCTGTTAGCACTTTGCCCTACTACCGCGCAACACACGGGTCTGAACACAGAGTGACGCTTGATGCCCGGAACTATGTGCTAGGTCATAAGGAGAACACTGCTTATACCGTAAGGTCATAAACTAAGGGCTACTGTATGAAGAGGTGAAGGACAGACAAAAATAGAGAAGAGTATACAAGCGTCGGTCATCCCGTAACAAATGAAAGCTGTACTACGATTGCAAAGATAATGCAGTGGCTCACCTTAAGCTGCGTAAACTCAGGCTCTTCAATACATGTGTCCACCACAAAAACAAAGATTGGCGGAACAACAGGCGCCTTCTGCAAAAAGAATTTGTGGAAATAGTGGGTGAGGTGAGTTTAAAAATGACCTCAGCTAATAGGAGGGTTACGAATACTAGCGTCCAGAACTGGACCATAGAAACCTCAGAGTATTCAAGAACAACTACAAATATCCCGTATTTGCACAGTTTTGCGCAAAGCGCAGGCAGCAATAAGAGCAACACATTCGCACTCTACATTGCTACTTCGCTGCTACACAAGCGATAACCATATGTGAACAGTGACAATGCCAAGGTGCCTAGGTCTAGGCAGAAATATCGCACAGACAGGAGTGATAAGAGCGGTCCCGTTTAGCTCATGATCTGGGAACGGTCGGTGACATAGCAGGTATAACGTGTGCCTGTGAAAATAGACATTTTGATATGAACCTGGAGCTGCGAACAAACGGCTAATACACAAATCTTAATCTGGAGCAGAAATTTGGGAAGAAACCGTGAAAAGTTTAGTGTGAATAAGAATAGAAAGACAAAATAGGCTACGCTTAATAGGCAGAGATATTGTATCAAAAACGCGTCGAAGTTGAAACTTTCTGAGGATCAAGTTTCCTCGATGATACTATGGATCTTTTCGTATTGTTGCTAGTAACTTTAGTAACACGCACAAATTCACGAAGACACTTGGCCTAGTCCATTTAGTGGCTATCTCGACCAAAAACGACGTGTAGCTAGATGCTGTTTGTTAAAAAGTCAGTTAATTTCAATAAGAAACGTGCTCCCTCGAGTAACCCAGACCAATGCGTTTTGAATTTATGTCCGTCCGTATACAGTAAAGCCGGTTTCGTCACACCGACTTAAAAGCCATACAAATTCAACAAACTGCGATACTGCTCCACGGAAGATATCATCAGCATGATCAATGCTTTTCTCGAGTGATTTTTCAGTCGAAAGACGACGACTTGCCGATTCAGCCTATGGTGGCCTGCTGAGATGATCCATTTAAGGTTAAACAGATTTTCAGCACCGATACTGAATTGATTTCGAGGGATAAAATAATGGAGTTACAATTGCAAAGTACCCAGATGTGTCAAAAGGCTAAATTCAGTGTTTGAATCTAGGATTTAAAAAAGACTCAAAGACTTATACAGCGAAGCGGTTTTAGGGAATTCGTGATAAAAGTGTTTAGCTCCATCTAGTTAAGCGAATTCTTATGCCATATGTCATCAGATCAAGTTTAACTGCTTCGTTTAATCAGAGCGATATCTAAAGGAAGCCCAAAAGCTAGTGGTCCAAATGCCTTCTTACCAGGTGTTTTATAGGAGTGTGCTAATTCCATCACACAACTTTTAACAACTGCACCACCATGAATGTTATCCCTGACATTTGGAGAACAGCCAGTGAATCAGAAAATTCCACAAACATCGCTGGACTGCGTGTACATATGTGCTGTTGAAAGTCTTCGGAAAACTGCTTACATCGCGGATTTTCACGGGCTCCCTTGCTGACGACGTCTATCATTCCATCTAGAGATCTCAGCGGGTCCCATTCGATGCAGCATTAACATTGTTCATTCCATAGTCTGTGCATCATATAGAAGATTAAAATACATCCGGCCTCTTTTTTGATTGTTTAAAAGCATTCAGAAGCCTAGATAGAGCGACTTCGCGCAATCTACTTTTGAGAATGAAGTTTACTCAGACGTACGCAATTTGTTGTGTGGCTATTTAACTGATAGCATCGCTACATCCAGTTAAAGGAAAAGAAATCATCTGTTCCATTTTTGGACTATAGTGTCTTATGGGCAGCGGACGTATGACCCTTTATACCTTATATGTAGAGGGCTTTCCTACGCTACATACGGCCATCGGAAACAAATGTGCTGACGATGTTGTGCTACATGCATGGCTCCCAGCTTTCAGGCTCCTTCAGTGCCTCAAGGGTAGTCATCATCTTGATTCTTTACTCCTGACGGTTTCAAATGTAATGACGTCATGCTTTCCTTTCTTTGTGCCGATATGTTGCGGTCCATCAAAAATCTTCCCTATTCTGACTGTCAGCAATAATATCAAATAAAGGCCACTTGAAATCAAGTATCTCGTTAATCTTTTGTCCATACACGTTTGTGAAACCTGCAAAACCAGAAGGCAACCGTTTTGTGCTGCCAGAGTTAAGACGTTCTAAGAAACTCGGAATTTTACGTTTAAGTTTGCGGCTTCATGTATTTCCCCCCATTAGTCACACGCTCCCTTGTCATTTTCCCTGGATTGTTTTGGAAAGATTATCCAAAATTATTACAACAGATAAACACATCACTAGATGTAACGGTTTACTTAGAGATTTTATATTTGATTTGATCATTTCAAGACATTTTCATGTCTGCAATGATTTCTCTTCTAATGGCCGACTTCATCCACCACATAAAGACCGTTTAAAATCACGGTCCCCTTCTACACGTCCAAAGTTACAGTTTATCACAGTTCCTCCTATTGCAAAACCATCTAGCCTTACCAAACGTTCATTTGTCGACACAACGAAAAGTACCCTGTATAACTCGCTCGCACAGAACTTTCACATATAATGTCCGGGAAGTATCACTAAGAACCAGGTGATTCCAACCAACAGTGTTTTCTCTTTTGTCCAGTTAGATAACAATTGGTAACTGCCATCCAGTCAGCAATATTTGGTGTAGACAATAGCCGAGGCGATTCAGTTCGAATCTGATGGGATACCTAGTATATCTCGCTGATGTGTTTGCTCCCAGCACAAGCATGCTGCGTGAGCACTTATTGAGGAGACAATTGCGCATGTGTCTCACCTTGCTCATCGCTTATACATTTTCCCCTCAACAGTGATGGTGTGAATGATGGAAATAGATCAATTTGGGTGTAATTTGAGAGCTTATGTTGGCTTGAATTGAAAGACATCAGCGTAAAGGCTGAGACGATCAGAAAATTGCCGTCTTCCCAAACGGAAGTATCAGGAGTGACCATATCAGTCGTCAGAGTTCCCATGAATCAGCGTAGCCTTGACATTCGAGCACTAGAGTCTAATCCCGCTCACATTATACGAGAATCCTGGGGATCATATTCAAGCATTACTTTATCATTTTGTTGCCTGATATTCCACCGTAGAAAATGTACATCAATATCCTCATGACGAGATAAATTAGGGGAATTGGTTTCATAGCGCTTTGGTGGGAGCATCATGGCACCGTGCCTAGAGTCAAACAATGAGAGCAGAAGTACGCTAACCCTATGCACTTACGTTTCTCGTCTAGACCATCAGAAACAAGCGGGAGCGAACTAGTGGAGAATGAGAGAGTGGAGTAAGCAAACATTCAGAATTAAGTAAAGTAAATTTACTGACACCGAACGCTCAAAACAGCGGTACTATGTAAGGCATTAACGCCAAGACAACTTCTTTGCAGCTTTCTCAATCTTACAGAAAAGATAACACTGATGTATGGGTAAACTGCAGTTTTACTGGTGCCAGTGAGCTGGAAGCTGAGGTCGGGTGCGCGCCAACTCCCACACAGGATTGGTCACATGACTAGAATTCGGAACGTGAGGTGGACCAACGACATCCGGTCCGGTGATCGGCGACTTTAACTTCAGCCGTCGGGTCACTGACTGCCCCACTCGAACACCAAACAATTCTAGCTCCTTTAAATAAAAACAGCTTTGTATGCAATAATAGAGGGAACTGAGTCAGCTTTATCTGGTGTTAATTTCCAAGCACTCGTTGTGTGACTGGATTGCGGCGCGCAATCTCAATCGAGACGGAGAATCACTGAATTGGATTCCATCACTGATGACCATAGCTGAAACAGATGAATACTGAATACTAGTTGTTGATTTGAAGAACTAGATCGATCATCGCCTGGTACCCGAATGCGCACCGCATAGCTGTGGATGCGCTAATACCCTAACACTGGAATATTGCTCCATAGGAAACGACGATCGCAGATTGAAATGTACAGAAACACTTGAAACCGAAGTAAATACCTTTTGGTGCTGTACCGAAGAGTGGTCCTTATATTGGTCTAGTAGGCACGATCTTTGAAAGCAAGTTACTTTTCGAATTCACCCGCATAGCCAACGATGCAACCGCCTCCAATCTTCCGCCGTCAACAGTCAATATACAAAGTGGATAATAATGTGTATATTTCTCACATGTGGGAGAAGCTAATCCTTTGGTAGGTACACATCATCCGTACAGTGATGATCATGCTCGTACAAGAGTGAGAAAAAACTGTTATTTTAGGTGTTACAATCTAGTGGCTATCAATTACAGTTCATAAAGCGCTTCAGTGACACTGTGAAACGAGATCGAGAGATAATGGTTCAAAAGATACCGGTTTTAACGAAATGATTTTCAAAAGTAACAACCTAATGAAAGTCACCGCGAAACGAATAAGTGCTTCAATGAAAAAGTCATACAATGCAACTGAGCTATGCTTGCTTATGTCCACAAGACCACTGCGTAAGTGTTCAGTGAAGCCAACGGTATTGAAGTAGTGTGCGTCCCATTGCATACACAAATTCACACGCAGCAGTAGAGACAGCTATTTGGGCGCAATGGTCGAAATTTAGGTGTCCGAATCAAGTACCACATTCCAAAGTGTCTCCGCAAAAGGATAGAACACACGAAGGTTGCATGAAGTAAATCGAGAAGCAGGGTTGTCTCAGCAAGAGGTCAGCGAGAGGTCAGAAACGCTGCCTCCTCAACGGTAAGTGATCACGAGTTCATCAAGTTGACTTCATGAGTGGTCTGAGGCTGGTGAGCGCTATGCCACCTTTCGGTGGGTGCTGTACGGGAATTCAGTGCTCGCGAGAAATGGACGACCATCTTCACACAGATGTAGCAATCGCTCACTTTTATTATTAAGCGAACCCAGTGTTGGTCGCTCAGATACGGCTCACCAACGGGTAAACTTCCACTTGAGCGTTTAGATCGCCAGTCAGCAACACAGTATCCGTGCTGTTTTTGCGATGATAGAATCCATCTTTTATGCATTGTGCGGGTGGGCAGAAATGATAAACACATTTTGTTCCCGCGCGATTTCGAAGCTTTGAACGAGCAAGCCAATCGGACGATGGACATCCGGCGACTAATTGGGATCCAGTCGACTATAGCAGCTTCAGCTCGGGGGAAATGCCCATACCGAATGGTCGGCATGTAAAGATGCGGTGAGAAGATTGTCCTGTTCTCCGAGCCGGGCATTTCTGTTGCAGACGTTTCGTTACCAAACTAGGCAACATCTTCAGTGCGGCTATTCAGTCTTGATTTGCGGAGTCTCGCAAACCAATGCCAGATTCGGATCTGCATAGTTTAGTAACGAAACGTTTGCAACAAATGCCCGGCTCGGAGAACAGGATAATCCTCTCATCCACACCCCGAGCTATAGGTAATCTCAATAATTTCCAAAGATGCGGTATTTGAAGCTGCGTTATCTCCGAACCGGTGTAGTGAGAAAGTGGCACCAGTATCACCTAAAGGGGATAGTAGGGTGAGCACCCAGCTAGAATTTCGAAGGTAGGACTATGGTGAGCAGTAGACACCGATCGATAATTTATTTAATATTCGAGGAAGTGGTGCTTTTGACCGAGTTGTAGCAAAGTGCTCAAATTAGTTATACAAGATTTAGCGAGGGTCAATGGCTCCAAACATGAACGGGTAGGGCGATGTTATCCGCTTGGTTGAACGTGGACTTGTCGAATGGACCACAGCGGCGCAATGTGATTGCGTGTGAATCGAAGTAGGAAGACAGATGGCTACTGAGACAAAATAGGGAAGGCCAAAACTGGCGGATTGAAAACAAGGGGGATAAAAGAGGAGTTGGAGCGGAACAATAACAATGAAAAAGCCCGAACCGTAGTATCTTCACCCCCACCCACTGTGATCGATACAGCAAATAAGGCACCGTTGCATATCCTCTGTGACAATGATATAGATAAAAAACCATTTGAAGAATCTAGCATAGTATTGTGTGGACAAGATACAGTAAGTTTGCCCAGATTTTGAGAGGAGAACGACTGAAGTTTTAAATTTAAAGCCTTTGGTTGGAAACCCCGGCCGCAAGACAGCGGGAGTTTGGCCATAGGCTACAGGGAGTCTGTTTTATACAGTAAGGAGCCATCCTCTTTACAAATCCGAACATGGAGGATTAATGGCGAATTTGTCTGGCCTCTAACCATTGACCAGTCTGTTGTGGGTGGCTCTGAAAGTGCAAAAAGCACCACTCGGCATAATTCAGCGGGCCGTTGAGGAACGCAACGCAGGCGAAGGTGCAGTCTCATTGCGACGGTGTGGTAAATATGAGTTATGATGTGTAGCAAATGGTAACGATCAGATGGATTGTTCCCTCTTGATGGCTCAGTGCCCCTATTCGCACCTAGTTTCATCTTCCGAGCTAGTAACACGCTTTTCGAGCTTCAGACCGCCACATTCCCAAACGAGTTTCGTTATTTATTCACTCCATTCGGTTGCATTTTGTCTCAAGGTCATATTTTCGTCAGTCTGCTATTAGCATTACTGTTACGGTTATCGGTTACCGCCTCTTGCCCACACGTTGGAAACCTAGTCGTGAGCTCTTTCTTGTTTATTACAGGATTACACTACAAAATCTCCTGCTCCAGGTGTTTTCTGCGCAGACGGTGCATAGTCTAGATTTCTAACTCGAAGTATCATTACATTTCGTGCGATGTAACTAGATTTAGCGTAGTTCATAAGGTTGAATGTGGTCGAGGAAGCCGGATAGTATCTCGGCAAGAGATTTCGACGTCATGAGACTACCTCGTACTGCAATAAAATGGACTTAGATGGGAAACCCTTGGTGATAATGCATCTGTTGTCCTTTAGGCTGTGCATTACGGGAAAAGGTTTGGGTATACAGGTAAAAAGTGGTGACGCAGATAAGTGAGGAAAATAAAGGGATGTATCGGTAGTGGCTTGTTTTTGTTTGTCCGACATGTCACGTACACCATTTGTGGCGAACCTGCAGCTTGACAGTCAGTTGATTGTGGGATAGAATACTAGTGGTGGCAGAACGATTATAGTCTCGAATCAAAGCGCTCAGAATAAAAATAAAAAAGCAAGGTAGCGTAGCAGAAGTATCGCGACGATTCATGGGGTGGGTTGTTTTGCAGAAATGGGTGACATCCCAGTTTCAATCGTGATTCGAAGTACTTTTGTTCATTGACGAACTAAGCAAGAGTAGATAGTAAGAATCACATCTAACATACTTCAATGGATCGGTGGGAATATGTAAACCGCTTCACTACGTTAAGCTCTAAGCTAGTCGCAAAGGGGAACTAATAAAGCGGAATGGGCGAGCACTAAGACTTACCGGAATAGTATACTCCAAAGTAGTGAACTGTGGCATGAGCTCCGCAGGTAGTTGCTGTTCGGTCATACCTGCATATTGTGGAGGAAAATTGTTGCGAGATCCACAAAGGCAACATGACCATACACGACTGCGGACGTCAAACTGAGAAATTTGGGTAAAAATATGAGTGAGATAATTCGCACTGAGATAACAGCCCATTACAGATTAATTAGGAAAAAGTGGGGTAACATACAATGAGCAGGTACTGCTTTGTGATTTATGACGGTGAGTTGGACCATACCTGGTTGCCGAGATCTCAACTTTCAATTAACCGTCATCGGTAATAAATGACTTGGAAGACAGTATCTGATGGATAAGTAGTACATGACTGCTATTCTTGTTTAGAACAAACACTCAAAAAATAAGGTTTAACAGTAAATAGATGGAGTACGAATTACGGAGCTGTTTCAAAACTACGAAATTTTGCTCTCAATAAAAGCTCTGCAGCGAGTAAATTAGCTCTTGAAACATCAATACTATCATCATGAGTACACGATAGCTAAAGGAGAAAAAGATACTACAGCAATCTGCCGCAATACAAAAATGTAAGATATATAGAGAAAACGAGATAAAATACCTTTAAGAATAAAACAAAAATCAAGTAAAGTAATGCTTAGTACCATTATGCCTCGGGTGAGATCGTGGTTAAAGAGGGAAGATGAGGAGAACAGGGATGAACAAAGAAACTCGCAACTCAAACGTCAATGAGGTTGGCTCTTCGCCATGTCAATAAGCGTATCCAACCAAACGTGATCATCACATTTGAGACATAGCCAGGCAGTCGGGAGACATCAACCAATGCGAAATCGAAAGTGAAAGTATTCGTTCCTCTCGACCAAGTTATCGGTCTGCCGCAGAACCTAGCGCTAGCTCATGTGTCCCTACCACAAGTAACGAGTTCGTAGTTTATGCGCCATCAAGTAAGAACCAAAATGAAAGGCGTGAGATTAAGAATATCGGAAATTCGAATCAACAACACCATAGTCAATACCACAGCAACTAACGCAGGTCCCAAACAGAAATAGATGGAATCATATAGCGCCGTTTTCCTAGAGTACTCTATGGAAATGCCAGTAACACCTAACGCTCATTAAATCGGCTAAGGAGAGCTGTACGTTGTTCCACTTCAGTATATGATATTGGAACCGATTCTTGGGTCAACATAAAGCAGCCGACTTACTACCCACCATCACAAACGTTTCTGCTACGTACCCGATCGCAATATCCTAACTCGAATAACGGAAGATCTCATGACAGATCTGGAGATAGGTATGGGGATATACGAGCTCAGATACACTATCTCCCAATGGCAATCACAGTTTCTTACCTGCCCTCCACCGCCACTTCCTCCTACGGATCACTCACACTATATCAAGAGATCGTTTTTTAAACCACCATAAACAAAAAGGGTATACAAAAAGATTGGCGGCATCCGTATCCGGATTTGCCTGTCACTGTGGCCTTCATGGGGGCAGTCACTGGACGCCTGAGCCTGCAGAGGGACCATGAGTGCATTGCGCTGCACACACTCACACACCCCATATCCATTGTAAATCCGAAGGAATAAGACGAGGAGGCATGTGGATGGGAACCAAGTTTCAGCAACGGAGTCGGCTCACACTCCTTCAACAAGCAGAGGGGAAGCATTCCGGCTTAATGGGGAAATCGTGCACACCAGTGGTAGACAAGGCGATGGCTGGACAGTAGTCTGTTCCACACTTGTTGCATGGAACCACTCTTTCAGCCTAGAACCGTCCCGAAGACGATGCACCCCATCCCTACAGCCACGATCAACTGTCTCCTGGAGCCAGCAATGGGGGTGGAGTGGATTAGACCGGTAGTTACCATGTCAACATTCACATCAGGCGTAGCCACACAGCGGAGCTGACACAACATCCACTTTTAAAATACAAGAATGCTCATCACACAGGCAAACGTACCACATAGACGACCTTACTGGCGTGAATTAGTAAATCGAATGGGAGCGTACGCATCGTGCTTCTATTCCGCGTGCACTAGTACTTTCTCCTGCACCTGGGCAATCGCCCCTTTGGGTAGTCCACGGAATTCGCATCAATCAACTTTGCTTTGGATTCGCAACACTTGAAATCAACATTAGTTCGTCATAAACTCACCTTCTTCATGTCCTGATAATGTTATTTTCGGTTTGCCCCAGTGCCGCTTCCCTGCACTAAGTTGGCCGTACAAAAGCGATATGAGTATCCTCGTCGAATTCATTCGGTGTACATATAGACATGAATTGGCGTCATCCGTGTCCAATGGCAGTTCGAATACAAATTATGCACATGTGTTTGTCCAAACTTAAGGATGAACTGCCACAATCTGGATAGAGACAAATTAGACCTCATGAGTCGGCCGGTGTCCCAGTGGTATGCGCGTCTAGTTTGCAAACATAATGTCACCGGTTCGAATCCGCATACGGGCGGTCGTCCTCGCGTTATACTCAGCCCACGCGCGACTGGTGGAGATCGCGTGGCAGCGAAGCGCCGTTACGGCGTACAGCTGGCGATTTATTAGTATTATTATTATTACTATTATTATTAAGGCCTCATGAACAATAGTATTAAAAACGTGTATGGGTTTCGTTTGGTGGTCAGGCTAACAGCCACTTGCACAGGCATGAGAATAAGTACTCAATACGAACTGGTGTAGTATTCTTTAACATTTAAGCGTGACAGCCTTAAATCTTGGGCATCCATATTTGAACGAAATCAATATAGGAATAGTGAAGCAACTGCCATCAGTACAGTTACTACGTAGAATGAATAATAAACAAGTGGTACAGTGAAATAGTGTGTACTTAGGTGTTGCCTCCTATATGTACAGTCTGGTTTGCGTAGGTGATGGGGGAGATCGCACAGCGTGCGAATGCGATGGGGTGTTCACTTCAGGCTCTCCGTGTTGCCGACCGGTCCGGTCATCTGCTGCCTGAGGTACGTGCAGATTCTCAAAGAACGATTGATGCGCAATCTTAACCATTGACAGGTGGCAATACCACACATTTACCGCTTACGGCCTCGTTGGCACAACTACCACAGTACTACATCAACTAAGTCCTACTGCCTACTGTCAAACATGCGGCTTTCCAAAGAGTGTTTACATTGTTTTGTAAATGTCCAAGACGTAGCACGGCTGTCATGCAAGTACTCAGCCGTTTGTACCTACCGCTGTGTACTCTGCTGTGGCCATAAGCTATTTGGTAACGAACTCCATAGTACGTCTCGGATGCAGCCATTCGGTGTTGCTAAAACGATTGTCGCTATGCGCCGATTCCTTTCCGATGTAATATACGAAGACACTAACGTACCATTCTCGCTGGGCTTGACCTATTTTTTAGTCTATCCAGAAGATTGGCCATGTCCAATTCAACTTATGATAGACTCTGCGCTTCCGCCTTCAATCCGCTTAGTACTTGCGTTTTCAAAAGTCCCGATACCTTCAGTACAGTTGATGAACAACGGGAATTATAACCAGGCTCACCCTAATCACTAACCAGTGCGCGGAATATGAATCACCGACCTCATGATAATCGCTAGTCGGTTAATTGTCGGGAGTGTTCACTTGCCACGGAATTTCCAGTGAAATTTCTATTCGGATGCACAGTCCAAGTTGGTCACATGAGGGACAATCGTTGAACAGTGTTCAAAATGCCAAAATTTACACTTTATGTGGACTGTAAGCGGCCAAGCGCTAGGAACCTTTTGATTCAAGCGTATCCATCGAACTGAAAACATTATAATTTGTCACCTTAGCATTGATCCGTATCAACAGCACAGTTCGTTCGGAAACACCGCTCGCACATCAAATACGAATGAGCTCATGGATGGACTGAACCATTATCCGGCGATGCACCGATTCTCTAAGCGTCTTGCTAGTTATCGTTGGGCAGCTGGTCAGGCTAGGGTCATGTAATCTACCAATCGATATCAAGGAGCAGAATGTAGGTAGCGTAGTCTGGTGAGCAATACCATGAAGCTTACATGGTGATGTGAATCGCGGCCGAATAATAATACGAAGAGGAAGATGCCGTAGCTCACCATCTCGGTATGTCAGCGTAGCAGACTCCACTTGAGAAGGTAGCAAAAATGGCATAGGTCATGATTTGTACAACAGAGTAATGGGCAACACGTGAAGTCATCGCGAAATACAACCGAGTTAAGTAAGCCCTATAAAGTTAGGTTAGGTGTGGGTCATCCATTCTAGGCAGGTGCAGTAAAGATAATACATTGCATCAAATCAGTAGGTAATCATTCTAGAGTGAAACTGTACCCAAGCGCGACTTACATGCGTGATAGAATAAGGTTGACACAAAGAAGATGACGGATGGAGTAAGTAACTTTACAAATTAGCAGAGAAATGGTGTGATTAAGTCTACGGATTTTTATAAGCTCGGCTAAGTAAAAGTCCGCGGTGAAAGAACGGGAATTATAGCTATGCTCACTTTAACGAAGAAGTAGAAGCGTAGTGGAACAGTGATGACTTATCGTTAGTGTGTGCTGTGGATCCGGTCTCCTATATCCACTGCAGGCTATCTGTGTCGGACGGTAAGCCAGAGCCAGTCCGATTGTCTCTTCTCTGAGGTGAGTGAGAATTAACAGGTATGTGGAACCACCAGGCAGTCCGTCGTGTGTTACTATTTATTTCCCCCTGGTCATTCTTTTTGACCGCTAACATATCTCGACCAACTCCTCAGTGCCTAGAATGCTACCTGTGCCCAAGCATTTCGATTTGGATGTCACAACGTATTGCCGCTGTTCCGGGAATCAAACTTGGTGACTTGTCTGAATCTCAGTGCATTTACCTGAAGGCGGCAGCAATAGAAGGAGGCGTATCGAGGCTCGTGGGATGGGCGAGATTGACTTAATATTGCAACCCGCAATAAGTCACAGTGTCACACAAGAAGAAATGTAATAAGAACCATGTGTCAAGTGTGAACGTAGCGAGACACGAAATGATGTTAGCACGAATTGTAATTTCGGCGAGCCTTAGTTAGACATCGAGGCAGCAGATAATGGTATCACGGGTGTGAAAATGCCATCAGTCTGTCAAGTTGAAATGTGGTGCTTACAAGTGCCTCTAAC